AAATCGGGGCAGTGGCCCAAGGGCCCATCCCGTGGGGAGGCCCTGGCAGCCCGGGAGGGATTGAGAGGCAGGCGGTCAGCAGCGACAGCAGCCCGAAGGGCCTCTTTGCTAAGTGTGGCGTGTGATGTGCGCCTCTCAAGGGCAGACCCCAGCTTTGTGGGGCCTGAAACTGACACAACTGGGGGCCCCTGCAGCACGGCCTGTCCCTCCCTGTTCCTCCCAGAGAGACTGCTGCCTGCAGGGCCTCTAACTTCTCTCCAAAGACTGAGCATGAGGTTGTCAGATCCGACATTTAGAGACCAGAGAGGGGGAAGGGTATAGCTCGAGTGGCAGAGCGCATGCTCAGTACGTGAGAGGTCCCGGTTCAATCCTGGTACCTCCTCCAAGAGGCAATCAACGAAGAAACCTAATAAGCTGCCCCTCTGAATGCAGATAACGCACACAGAGACCAAGGGGAAGAGCCCAGACCGCTCCTCTTCCGCTCGGTCCCTGCTACTGAAGGGATGTGTTGGTTAAAATAGAAAATTTGAGAAACCGATAGCCGTTGATTTACTGGGAACGTGACAGCGGAGGTGGAGTGAGACCCTCACCTATTCAACCAAGTTCCCACTGCCAAGTCCCCCTGGAGATCAGAGCGCCCAGCCTGGCTGCTCCCAGAGGCACGCCGCTCCAGACCAGCGGGGACCCCACACCTCTCCTGTTCAGGGCGGTGAGAATTGCAGTCCACAGCACAGGCAGCAGGGGGTGTGGGGGAAGCAGACCCTCAGGGACTTTCTAGAGCCTAGAGCTCTACCCGCCCTGCACCCCCCGACCCCCGCCATCCCCCTGCCCATTGCTCGGTTCCCTAATTCAACCCACACCCGGTCTGTGGGGTCCTTAGAATCGCTACAGCCAAAGGAGAAGCAACAACAATCCAGGCGCCTTTTCCTTACATAACGAGCGTGCATCTCAGGCCACAGCAGAAGTGTGCCAGAAATATCACAGTTAATTTATTTAAATCAAATTAAGATTCAACTCCAAGTCACTATCCCACAGGGACCATGGGAAGTTAGTCTCAGTCATCACTGACTCGCAGGACCTGGGAGGCCCTTTGGGCTCTGAGCACAAAGACCCGTTCACCGCGGTCGCCACAGGCACCTCCCTGGTCAGGGCCTCCGCGGTCCCCTGAGGAGGGTGGCAGGCAGCCCCACGCCCACCTGGGAAACCCGGTGCTGGGCCCCACCCACGGCCGTGGCTCTGTTTCCTTGTGAGGCTTTGCCATGAGGGTGCTGTCCGGGAGGGAGGGAGGGCGGGACAGGTTTCACAGACCTCTGGTTTCTTTCTACGTGGAAGGGGGGACAGCTGAACCTCTTCTTTCTGGTCTGAGATAGATTATTCCATTCCCGATTTTCTCTCCCTTCTCAGGACACCTGGGGAAATCTCCTTAGTGTGTTTAAAGCCACTGACTTCAAAATATTCTGTTTTCTGCCCCGCAAGTTCTTCTCCTAAAGGATCTGGTTCTCTGCCTGAAATAGGGTGGGGATTGGGCACAGGTGGATATAGAGGCCAGAAACTAGCAAGTAACAGTGAATTATTCCACTGTCCTTATTTGGACAAGGTTGGAGCTCAGGGTCTAGAAAAGGAAGGTCTTTCTTTCAAGACTGGTACAGAGGGAGCCCTGCTGATTCTACCAGAAGGTCCTACCCTCTGGAGTTCGCCTGGAAGCAGCCCATTTTAAGGATCTCAGCTCCTAACCATGAGGTTACCAGGCGTGAGGTATGTGACTCCTGCCTCTGTCCCAGGTCTCATTCATTTATTCAACCCTGTATCAGAACACATTTCTCTTTATTACCTGGTGTCCCAAGTGAAACTTGCTGGCCACAGACCTGTGCTCAGTGACCATGAGCCCGAAAGCCCCGAATCTGCCAATGATGGGACAGGAAGGCGGGGAAGAGAGCCAGGTTTCTCGGACAAGCCCTAGGCCCTTGCTCCGCATGCCCTCCGGTCCCCCGTGCCTTCTCCAGAATCCTCAGAACAAAGCAGGAGAGAAGCCACCAGTTCAAACAGGTCTGGGGAGAAATCAGAGTCCTTCCGCCTTCTGTAAAGGGCGCTCAGTGAGGGCTGGGGGGCAGCAGAGCCCCCGCCCCACCCAGGCTGGGAAGCAGCTGGGACGGACAGTCTGTCCTGCAGCAGCGCTGCCAACGCCTCTTTCGGCACAATCACATACTCTCCGCTGAGTCAGCCTTGCTCTTCCTCTTACTTTGACTTCCTGGACCTCTGCTCTCCATCCAGAAATCTAATTACACGACTAAAGGAACCCCCGCCTTCACGCAGATACCTCCCTTGGGTATTTCCTAACAGGCACAGAGATCCATTAGCCCACAGTGAATTCTGACCTCTGACCAGTGATACAACCCTCCCCTTTACATTCCATGGGGAGAAAACTCCCTACGTATTCATCCAGTTTCTCTCCGCAAAATACAAAAGAGCTGCTTGTGTGGCCTGGCAGTTGGCATTTTTATTTTTCATTCCCGAGAAAGACCAAGGTCCAGTTTCCTGGACCAGCCTTGGAGATCAGGACCCAGTCCTTCCAGCCCATCCCATTCCCAGACTTTGCGTTAGAACTAGTCTTCCCCGGGAGACCTGATCTTTGCTGTCCTGTATCCTGACACCAGCACAGAGGCGGGTATCCAGGCACGGGCCAGGACCTGTGGGAAATCAAGGCAAAGCCGAAGGGTCAGCCGTGGACGGATTTGTAGAGCAGGAAACTCTTACACTCGCTCCCTTCCCCCCAAACAAAACCCTTTGTCTAGGGATTTATGCTGCCAGATGCTCTGCCCATCATATTATAATGGAAGGCAGTCCGGCAAATTAATTCTGATTCAAGCATTCTTTCCTTCAATCAATCTTTCAACTCACCCTGGGTGCCCAGTGTGAACATAAGCCCATTATTTGTCTTGGTGGCGCTGGCAATCTAAAACAATCTTGTTTTTTATTCTGTCAATTCTTTCTATTACATGAAGTAAAACATGTAAAAAGTTTAGACGAGTTCTCGAGCCTAGTGAGCATTCAGTAAATGTTGGCAGTTAGTCACTCATTGATTTTAAAATATTTACTGAGTACCTGCCATGTGCCAGACACTGTTCTGGGGCTGGAGGAACACAGAAACAAAACAGACAGAGTCCCAGACCACTGTGCACGTTTACTTTCTAGTGGGAGAGACAGGTAATAAACGCTTTTCTTGTTTCTCGTGGATTATTTCAGTCGACCCTGCAAAGTGGAATCTTGGTTCCCATTTATGACGTGGAAACCAGGGCTCACATGGATTTTGCCTTGTTCAAGACCACTTAGCTACTGAACAACAGAGCAGGACTTGGCGTACTTTCAGGTCCCTAATCCAGATAAAAGAGACAAGTGGGAAGTGCTACCCCTGGTCACAGGGGGGTAGCACTTGAGCTGGACTTCGAATGATGGGCAGGACTGGGTTACGTGGGTGCAAAGAGTAGGGCTTTGGGGGTTTGGAGAAGGCTATAAAAGATCCAGTGGTGGGAGTAAGACCTTCCGGGAAGATGGCTCTGGTCGGCTGAAATAGAAGGTTTATCCTGGTCTTTATCTGGGAAGATTTGACTTTTCAGCAAGCAGGCAAAATTATTCAGTTTAACGATTAATTGTTATTAGCTGCTTGAAAACCGTATTTTTGTTTTAAATGAGCAAGGGTTGGTACTTAACTCAAAGGATCGAAAACTTAACGTTGGAGCATGAGGCAGCAGAGATGGGCCGATGAGGACATTGCTCTTCCTCTCTGCCTTTCTGTTTGTGCTTCTCCGAGCCCGGCATTCCGCAGGCTGGCTCTGACTGGCCGCAGTCTACATTTCTCCAGCCAACGGGGCATGGGCTAACTGCTTCCTACATCCACCAGCTATGGGAAAAGCACCAAAGAAAGCAAACAGAGGAAGAGCCGGGGGCACTGGCCACTCCAGGAGAAATCCCAGGGCTCCCGGACAAATGGAACAAAGACAAACATTTGGTTTTTCAGGCTCAGATGGTTTTTATCAGACAGCCCAGCCCCAGCCAGGAAGCCCGGTGGACACTTCCACCCTGGGGATTAGGGCCCCGCACTAAGCCCCGTGCCGCGTTCTCAGCGCAGGGGAAGGAGGCTGAGCCCCGGCCGTGGGAGCTCTGGTTCTCCTGTGAAAGGCACTGTTGGTTTGGTTTTCAGGCTTTTGATCTGAGTCTGGAATCCCATGCCTTCCCACACCCCCAGGCAAACTGGAAGTGGGAGTGGGGATGATTTCCTCTGGGAAACCCCTCTGAAGGACCATTCCTTATTTGCACTAAGAGAGCCATCCTGGAATGCATTCCCGCCTTGGCCCTGACTTCCTTCCAGAGAGGAGCAGGGGCCAGGACCAGGGAGGAGGATGCGTTCCTGAGGCGGGTGGGGTATGTTTCAGAAGCCCCTCACCTGCTGCGTGGATGGGCTGCTCTGTGCATCTTTTAATCTGCTCAGAAGTACACAAAATTTTGTACTCCAGGGGGCGATGTAGAGTAACGAACTAAGGCCCTTGCTCACAATAAGCCTGGAGAAAAAATACATATATTTTTTCAGACCAAAAAAGCTTCAAGTCTCTAAAATGTGAGACCTAAAAATGGATCTAGAAGAGGTGTGATGTGATGGGAAGAGCCTTTAAAGCAGGCTAGGAGGGATTCCAAATCACTTCCTGGCTGCGCAGCTCAGACTAGTTGCTGAATCTTAACTGGGTCATGGTTTCCCATCTATGAAATGAGAACTCAAGTACATGGCTCAGAAGATCGTTGTTGTAAGGACTGACTGTGATAATAAATAAGGCTCCTAGTATCGTGCCTGGTGCATAGCAGGCACCGTAACAATATTGCTTCCCTTTTTGCCGGTAGTCACCTGTTCAGCCCTGAGTATCTTCTTCTGGAGAAGAAACGCAAGTGAGTCTGAGTAACTCATGTGCTGTAAATAGAAGGAGGCCTGCCTGGGAGAGATGGTCAGGATTCTGCATCCTGATCTCAGAGTGATTCTACAGAGGGTCTCACCAGTTAGATTTGCCAGGGCGGGTCAGTTGGAGACTGGATTCTGTTGCTAACAGAAGTCGAGCCCTCTGTTTAAAATACTCTAATAGCTTCTCTTTACAGTTGGAATGAACGTCATCTTTATCATGAGCTGGCCCTTGTCTACTTCCCCTGCCTCCCTGTGCTCCAGTTCCTCCTGGTTTCTTTATTTGAGCAGTTTTCCCACCTCAGGGCCTTTGCACTAGCTGTGGCCTCACTGGGAATGCTCTTCCCCCAGCTATTCTATATCTGGCCCCTTCTTGTTATTTAGGTTTTGTCTTAAAAGTCATTTTGGTTTACATTCAATGTTGTAC